CCCAGGCCGGCGGGACCCGCGGGCGGCCGCCCCCAGCGGCGAGAGGGGCGCACCTGCGGGGCCGGCGGCGTTCCCCTCCCCTGCCGGGGGCACTTGAAGGCAAAGAGCTTAAAATGTTCCCTTCCCCAGCGCCACAGGTATAGTGGCAAACACCGCGGAGAGAGAAGCGGGGGAGACTGACTTGGCACTGCCGGTGCAGAGAGGAGATCAGTGCGCGACTGATTATCGTAGTGAGTCAGGGGTCTTGGCAAAACGATGTCCTCGGTGATTACAGAGATAACAGATCCTTGTAATCAAATGTGATGAACTGTATGGCAACGCTTTGGGAGGGGTTGTTGTGAACAGAATTGTCCTTTGGAAATGACTCGGGTCTCATGGATCCTGACGATTTTCAGAGGATCTTCTGTTCAGAGCTCCAAGGATGTTCTCCTCCAGATGTTGGTCTGATTGTTATCGGATGTGATAACACAGATAAGTACATCAAAGACCGTTCTCTTGAGTCGTACACTCGTTTTTACTGGGTGCTTAATTCTCACACCGCTTGTTTGCACCAGCACCTTTTCATGATCACTTGTTCCAAATGACTGCAGAGGTTCAGGGCTGCCTGATGGCTGATTATTAGGACTTAGCTCATTTACTGTCTTGCTAATGAAATCAGAAGAGATCCCTGGAAAGGCAGAAAAAGTATCTCCTGGTGAACAGGAAAGTGACAAGGTAGGCGTCACAGGAAAGTGATTGCTCCCGCTGCCGCATCATGGACGCACACTTACTCTGCTCACCCTGTGCAGAGCATCTCTCGCTATTTCAAGAGTGGTAATGACAAAAGCAGAAAAGAAACAAGTTGCAACCTAAGAGAAAGATGCAGAATCCCGGCATTTTAGTCTAAGGATTACTTATGTGCTTGTGCCACAGCACAATGTGTTTGTGCCACAAGCAATGGGAACCAGTGCTGCTCAGGGCAGGCAACAGTAGCGGAATTGACCACACAGTCTTTCCATGTGTAATGGTAATATAATATATAATATATAATCTGATAATTTGTGGGGAGGAAGAAGAGGGAATGGGAAAGGAGTGTCAATGGACTTTGAGAGGGATAGAGATCTGGAGATTTTGTATTTCTTTTTTTCATTCTAAAGTGAAATGGAAGGAGAAGAACAAGTAAGCTATTAATGGGCACTTTCAGTAGATAGCATGTATTGCTTCATGGTGAAAGACAGTATTTTCAGCATCCTTCATTGGTAGGAGAGAGCCATTTAGCATTGCATTTAGGAAGAGCTTTAAAACAGGAGTTATTTTGTCTGTGGAAAATGCTGTGGACAAGGGGTAATGAAATCAAGAACTCAGATATTTTATGTGGTCAAAGACACTGTCTCTTTATCTCCTTCTATAGTCATATACAGAGCAGGAGGAACAAGGCTTTAAAACTTTCTCAGAGACTTTCATCTCTGGGTATGTGCACAGAGTGTGGGAGCCTCTCTCTGTGCTTGCTCTTTGTTGCACTAAAGCCATCAGAAGAGTTTTATGTAAGCCTGTACACAATTAGTATTTGTGCCTTTCTGTGGAAAGGATGGGAAAGATTGGGAACAAAAATCAAGGCTGCCAGGAGTTCCACTCCATATCTTGTGTTATAGCCAGATTTATATCATCCTTACTATCAGAAGGCCCTTTTGTGCATTAAAAAAACCTTTAAAATTACATTAAAATGTCTTTAAAAAAACCCTTAAAAAAAGCTGGCCAGGTAAATAGAGTGCTATATACAAGTCTTTATGACTGCTCACAAGAAAGTGATTGCACACAAAAAAATTATTATGCCCAAATAAATCAACCTTTGGCAGGTGTAGATGAAAACTTAGGATGTAGAGAGGCCTGGCAAAAAGCCCTGGGAGTCCAGCCTGTTTAAGACAGGCCTCATTAAGCAAAATTTCAAAGTAGGGGAGTGATAGTTGAATGCACCTCTTTGCAAAGTTATTACAAGTGTTACTTCACAAGGACATAGGCAACGTGAAATAAATCTTTAGGATAATGCTTTCAGATGGTGAAGATCATTTTGGGTGTAATAATGTGTGAGACCCTTTCTTCAAATAATTGCATATAATATAGGACTGTGTAGCCAAGATTCTGGTGAAAGGGTGTTTGTGAAGTTGAAGACCAGTAATTCCTTCTTGCTGGTAGTATTTCAACTTTTGCCTTCTTCACAGAAAAGGAGCAGTCTCAATAATTTTCATTATTTCTGTATTCACAGATCACCTGTGTCTCCTTCCTAGATTGTGACAGTGACTCTGCAGATAAAGGCAATCTGTAGAGTGGAAAATACTATATCCATTAGTTGAAAATAAGTACTTTAAGTTTCATCATCTCTCAGTGTTTCTGCCCTTGTAAAAAAATAAAATGTCTCTTCAAAGTTTAATAGATGTAGGTATAAGTGATAGCTTTTGTGTTTGCATAACAAGTTTGAAGGGTGTCAGCTGGACCACATTGATGTTTGGATTAGATGATATTTAAGGTCTCTTCCAACCTTGACAATTCTGTGATTCTGTGATACAGTCTTCAAATTCCTTACCTGGCAAGGCTGTAAACCAGATTCCTGACCATTTGTTACGGACTGTATTAACTGTCCTTGATGGTTACCTATATTCTCAACTATCCTTGAGAAACTGATAGTTTTACTTTTGCTGAGTTGGAGGTACATATTGAATGAGAAGAGTGAAAGGTGTTCCAAAAAACTACTTACTGTAGTTAATGACATAAGGGTCTAGAGGAAGTTAGTGTGTGATATTAATTAAATACTATAGTAGGGGGAGAAGTTCAGTTCATATAATCCTACACTTTCCTACTCTTAGGTATTTTGACTCTGCAAGTTCAATTCTTGGTCGTTGGTTAGGCTATCCAAATCCAGTGGCTCAGCAGAGAGGGGGTTGCTGCAGCTCTGCACCCTCAGGTCCAACTAATAGCCAGACTGGGCTTGTATTCCCAATAGTAACACCTGCAAACACCATTATAGAACCCACACACAAGCATATAGACACAGCTGGCCCCACAGACCGGCACAGACACCAACAGAAGCACAAACTGCACCAACAGCCTCACCCTGTTCCCCTCTGGCTGTCTAGGGTGAAAATGCTAGGGGAATATATAAATGTACATGTACACCATGTGGCTGTCCTCAGTGAGCATCTGGATCAGACACTCAGTCTCCTTGTAGCTGCTCCCTGCATCCCAGCTGTTTGCACATGGACATAGGAGCTCTGAGGCTGCAGCACCACTCAGGCTGTGGGTATGGACCCACATTCAGACACCCAACACACACATGGAGGGGACACACTAAGGCCCCCTAGGAACCACCCTCAGTATACCCAGTGGTTGGCCTGTATCTCTCCTTTTTCCTGCCTGTGCCTCCTCCCTTGTGCATCTGGTGACACATTTTTGTGCAATCCCAAGATACTCTTCTGCTGCATCCTGTTTTGTGTCCCACATCCCTAGGCAGTGACACCCCACAGTCTGGGAGGTGCTCCAGGCAGCTGCTCCCCTATGGTGTTGTTTATTGTGCCTGGTCCATGGGGCTGGGGCTCCCCTGTGACAGCCTGGGGACCTAGGGAGAGATCTCATTTCTCTGATGGCATTTTCAGTGTTCCCCAACCTGCCCTTGTGTCCTGGTGCTTCTTCTTGTGTGAGGAGATAGGTCTTTTTTGGGATGGTGGTTCCTTGAGTAGCCAGGGCAGAGAATTATTTAGATTATCCCACCTGCTACTATCTCTGTGTCTCTCTCAGCATGTGTTCAGATACAGATCACATAACTTAAGAATCATCTCTGGCAATCTCACTGCTGAATACTGATTTCTCTAATATAGCAGAAAGGAAGCATTAGGCATACACAAAGGATGCACCTGTTGGAGAAATACTGCCCACAGAGACTGACTAGTCTGCCCACTCACAGATGGTAATGTAGGGAAAAATATTGATGTGGCCATAAACTTGGCTTTTGCTGAAGGGAGGAGATTCAAATAGGTAATTTACATATGGTTATATACTTCTAGGAAATCATCAGAATGCACTAGTAAAATATTTGTTATGAGCCTCACCGGTTCCACAAGGCATTCAGAAATAAATGGAAAACTCTGAGCCATCATAAATTGCCTTGTGACAAATATTACTTCTAAACTACAGTGTAATGCCACTTCGGTAGCACTAAAAGTGGAGCATTATGTGACACTAAGTAATTGCCACCCATTACATGATTAATGAAATTAAATAATACAGAGTGGCAGAATAAAGAGCTGACTTTGATTCTTGGAGGGGGAGGACATAAACGAAATCTCTACAAAATGGGCAGGGTGATATCTGGCTTTTTGATTTATCCATGTGATTTTATTTTGAGAAATAAATTATTTTCAATATCAAAAGGAGAGGGAAAATGAGGGATTTTGAGAATTTTCCATTGTATGCTTTGATTAATTTAAGAAATGATTTAAAGTTACAGAATTTAAAATCTGACAAGCTCTACTTATTTTCAAATGAGGAAATTGTCTCAATATTTTCTCCTGTGTGGAGTGTGAGCTTATGATTCTTTCCATAAACCAAACTGTGGGATTTTGTTTCCTGACATGTTTATCAGAGTCAACATTTCACTGCCTCTGCCTGCTTACATTTCCAAAACTTTTCCTGGGCATCCTATATGGATCTATTTTTAGGCTTGCATTATTTATTTTGTCCTTCCAAGTCATATCCTGTTCCTTTTAAATCCTTCCTTGTTTATTATTTCCTTTGCAGCCCTTAAAAGAAATGACAAAACATACATTTGATCTATCATAGGGAAATCTGTCCAGTGTAACTCTGCTGATATAATTGCCATCATTCATGTTCCCATATGAATACTCTTAATTTGAAATAATGAGGGGTTTTGAAATAATGGGTAGTTTTACTTCTAATTATTCTTGCATAAAAATGTTAAAAACGTCAAAGATAAAGCATAGCTTGGTCAACAGCAGCTGTTTAAGCACAGTTTGGTCTTCACACTGTATGTTTATAGGGTCATTCTCACACAGCCACTGCTTCAGACCTGAGTGTATTCATCATGGTGTGCATGTTCACCTGGTTCTTTGTGTCTTCATCAAATCTGGCCTTCATCTGCCTGAAGATGGGGGGCCATTGCAAAGAAAGAACATAATCTGTCTCTCAGTGCTTGTGCAAATACTCAGGATGCTGCCATGGGTCACAGACATGACATATGGCC